AAAAAAAAAAAAAAAAAAAAAAAAATATATATATATATATATATATATATATATATATATTATAATTTAATTTACACGCATCTTGTGAAAAGAAATATATATATATAATATACAATCACAAAATATCATTAAAATAGGAGCAGAAATATTATTTTAATAGTTTCATCTTTTAATGAGCACATAATACGAGAACGATGCTTTGATTTCGTAATTAAATTTCACGCACTAAATTGACGGAATTTCACGTTTACTTCATTATAACTGGTACGCACACATTACGGTGGAATAGTATGCGGGACGGCAGGAATGTTTGGATTTGCGAATTATGCTGATAGAAGTAAACTTGAGTTGAGAAGTGAGAATTTATCCAGAGATGCGGAGCGCGTACAGTAGTTGCGCCGCGACTATAGTCCGACGTATTTCATGGCGGGCAGTAGTTACCGTTATCGCAATTCATACACCAGGAAATCGACTGAGCTGATTAGATTTCAGATACGCCCGACACTCGCGGCGACACAATACAGTAGGCAAAGCTCAATATTACGATCTTTATCTAAACGGCGATCTTTGACAATATTTCCTACGATGCTACAAAGTTTCAATTTATGACGTAACCGGATCTCGCGGCAAAATTAGAGATTAGTTTGCGATGAAACGCACAATATCACGTTGTAAAGCAAATCTCTATAATCTTTGTCAATGTTCTGTCTCTTTAAATTGACAAAATAAATGAATAATATGTAAGAATGGCCCAATATTATTAACAGTTGCATCCGTTTCTCTTAATAAACCAGTTAATACGCGTTCATATTTATTTTTAACATATGCTCTTATTCCAAATATTATATATTACCAGTTAACAAGTTTTTTGCGAATAAAATTAAGAGTCATAGTACTATGTGTATGTATATAGTAAATCCGGAATATCATAATTTTACAAGTATACCGCTACAGTTCAAACATCTATTCGCGATATCGTACACGAAAAAAAGAATAATTGTGTCAAAAAATCGTAGTATGGCACATGTTTTCTTTTTGGCTTCAAGAATCAATCCTTGAAGCTGACCTGCTCATTCGTTATCTCAGAAAAGCATTCTTTTTCAGGCAACGAATCGCAGAGTTAATATATGATATCGCATAGGTCAAGAATTGATTACTGAAATCAGAAATAAAAACTATCCTATATTTTATTATTATTTTCTAATTGACACTATTCTTTTTTTTCGTGAAAGAAGTTTAAAATTAATATTATATATTTATTTTTTAGATCTGTGTGCAATTATTCTTTAACTTCAATCGATTAAAATGGTTATTTCAAAGTTAAGAAAAATAAAATGGTTATTTTGCGAATAAAATTAAGAGTCATAGTAAATCCGGAATATCATAATTTTACAAGTATACCGCTACAGTTCAAACATCTATTCGCGATATCGTACACGAAAAAAAGAATAATTGTGTCAAAAAATCGTAGTATGGCACACGTTTTCTTTTTGGCTTCAAGAATCAATCCTTGAAGCTGACCTGCTCATTCGTTATCTCAGAAAAGCATTCTTTTTCAGGCAACGAAAAATAAAATGGTTATTTCAAAGTTAAGGAAAAATTAAAAAATATTTTATAAACGAAATAACAAGAGAAAATAACAATATATGTAATTTACGTTATTAATTTATATATCATTAATCGATACTAGAATATTTATTTGTCCTTATTAGAGACAACTTGGATAAAATGATATAAACATTCTTATTTCTGAAAAGAACATGTAGTTTGTGAATTTCATTTATTACAGAGTTAAGAATTAACATGAATATTATAACTTGTCCCTCCAGAATTGATTAAAAATAGTGCAAATATAAGTATTAGCTTATAAATTGCCATGCTTAAGTCAATAAAGTTAGTGATAAATTTATAATTCTGTAGATTTGTGATGGTTCAAATGATGATTATTCACTATTTTTTATTAATAAATTTATATATTTCTTTATTTGTGCGATGAAGTTATTACTACTTGAGACATTCACTCTGTCACAGATTAGGATCACACTAAACTGTCATATCACTAAATGACATACGACAGCTATTTTTATATTAGAAATAAAGTAAAAAAAAATTCCTGCATTAGAAAAAATATGACACAATTAAAACTCCAAATGTTCAAGCTTCCCAAAAAAATTAATTTTGTGTATATATTTAACACGTTTATAATTAATTAATTTGTTTTCGCGATAAGATTATTTGGTCACTAATTAGGACATGCATTTTAATACATTTTTTTCGCACATTGCGCGAGGCATTTCATAAAATAAAACATTTCATTGTGCCGTTCCTGCCGTAACTTTCACGCAGACGAATTTACTCCCTCGCGTTTATCGATCCTAATGAATTTATCGAGCGATACCGAAGGTTCGTAGCTTATCGCGAGAAAAGCGACGGATTTATACACGGTTTGGGGAATTAATATTCTGCCAAGTTCATTAAATAAAATATCATGGCCGTCGCTTATCGTAAATTGATAACCGGTCTCTATATTCTCGTTTCGTATCGCTACGACCCTCGCTGTTGTGTTTCACGATTTCTATCTGGTCATTCGCATCAGTATTACGTGTACAAATACGTAGGTTATCACGTGCAGCGTGCAAACGGGCGTCGTTGGTTATAGGCACTATATTTGACTAAAATATTACATGCGATGTTGCCGGTTGCGCGATGCGAAAAAGGATAAATCCCATCGCAGTGAAAACTGCGAGTTTTATACTTTCAATTTCATAGTTATTTTTTTTATCACAGAGGTGCGAAATACGTTGTCAAGTCAATACTTGCAACTTCAGTCAGCAATTAGAGAAGCTCTATGTATAATTAATTAATACATTCACTTTTAATCAAGAGATACGTTAGCAAGTTGATATTGTTAAGTCAGTGAATGACCAAATCTACTATCCGATTTGTCACGCGTCTCACAGGCTTGAATTTGAAACTCTAAGATCCCGGTCTCGATACAGAGAACTTTCGAGCATCTCCGTACCTTTTTGGCATCTACGAATAATCCGATTTGATCGAGATCTTGGCTTAGGCTTTGAAGCGTTTCAAGACGCAATCACGCGCGTGAACGAAACGAACGTACGCTCACCTCAGTACGTAGCGCTCCTCATTTGCCAAGCGCGTCCGCGAGCTTTATCCTGGACTCCAGTATACAGTCTTTATGTAGAACACTGCGCGATCAGAAAACATTCATTCGGCATCCGCATCCCGGCATTATCCTGTCGCTTACATCCGTTCCGCCGTGCACGGGCGGGAGAGTTGTCGCGAGCTCAAAACGCGGATCCTTCGCGATAATTGGCGCGCGCAAAATGTGTACACCTGCGTCGGTGCTGATACGCCACGTTACGTAGGCTAGGCTACGTCACCGTGTTGTGTTGCGACAAGCCCGAAGCCGCGCGTTTCAGCTTCCGCCGACGACTGACGACCGCTCCTGAATGACGCGCCTGCGCCTTTCCGCGTACACCACGACGCTACGGCCCTGCCGTGCGCATCGCGCGCGTTCTGCACGACCTCCTGAAGTCCATGTTTATAGTAGGGACAATCAGGGTAATTGAGGTACGAAGATGAAAGCGACATCGGGATGTTCTCGACGTTTGACGATCGACCGGGAAATCGTTCAAGACGACGACTCGATGCGCTAAAGCATGTTTCATTATTGTATTTACGCGCGAGCCAAAGCGACAACTGATTATTCTCGACAGGTATCTTGAATCATTAAGGGGTAACGGATTTATAGTAAAAAACTACGAGTATATTCAGATAGAGACTCATGATTATCATGACGTGAGGCAATTGATAATGGAAACTTTACAAGTCTTTTAATTATATTTATTAGATAAATATATTGTGTATGTTTATATGTGTGTGTATTGAATTAATTGATATACTGTAAATAATGTAAATTTTTTGCTATATTGATTTGCCTGCTGTATTGATTGTTTGCTGTATTGATTTGATATGCTGTACATTGTTGTATTTACAACTAATTTACATCTAATTTTTACAACTAATTTACTAAAAATTATATTCAGATTTTCATACTACATTTAACATGGCATATTATTCGTGGCAAATTTTGATAATTTTCTTTATATTTATTTCGTATTTCTATTCCGTCTTTTTCTATATAATATAAAAATATGAGTGCAATCTAATCAGTTATAAGGGAGTTAATGTTGCTGAATTTTGTGAATTTCGTGAATAATATGCTTAAAATTGTGAATAAAATTGCTGTAAAGTTTACGTACATCACTATCACTATCTATATATAAAAAGATACGTGCGGAATTCAAGTAAATATAATTTTTTTTCAAGTATTTCATAAGTTCATACAGGGTGGGTCATTTTAATCAGTACGGACATACACACACACACACAATTATCTTGTAAAATAAACAAAATATCAAAAAATGTTTTAGACAAAAATTGTAAGATTCGAAGGGGGAAATCTTAAAGTGACCTTGACTTTGATCTTGGTGGCCATTGTCGAGGTTATTTTAAGGTCACATTAATTTTTGTAAATAAAACTTTCTACTTTTATTGCATATTCTTATAGCTTATCTCGAGAGCTTTCCACTATAATAACGTATTTTTTCACTAAGTAGTAAACGTAAGTTTTCACTAACTTTTTGAATATAATAGTAAAACTTAAAAGTTACAATACTGCCAGCATTACCCAAGGTGTACCACGCAGAGGTTGCTCGGCCGGATTTACACCTCTTTCGTGTATGTGTGTGTGCGTGTGCGTGCGTGCGTGCGTATGTTTGTGATGTGACGGTTCTCAGTCCTTATCTGTTTCGTAACTTATCATCGTAAACATCCATCCAATCACCCATGCATCCATCCATTCATGCATCCACACGCACGCATACACGCACCCACATACACTCACACCTATATATACCTACATCCGGACCTATGCTATACCCACCCACGCACGCACGCATATCGCATAGGAACTGGATTCAGTGGTTGAGGCAGTGATTTATTGTGCAATGTTTGAACTTATTTTTTCAGTAATACCAGTAATAATAATATTAATTATAATTATTAATTAATGATAATAATATTCCAAGTATCAGTAATATTAATGAATTTTATAATATGCATATATTATAATATTTACTGTTAATCAATATAAAATCATATTTATTTACATTGTTAGAAAAGAGTTTAAAATTGCGTGAACAATGTCAATATATATTAACCCTCCGAGAACACACCTATTTTTTCAAGCATAGAGTACACTCTGGGTCAATCTGACTCTACGCTAACTTTGAGAATCCGCCATTTTAAAACGACGTGTGCGATTAGCTTAAAAAAATTTCTAGATATACCTGAGATATAGGAAAATCACGTAAAATAAATTAAAAATGTCGTTATAATTATTAACATATCTAAAAAAATTCTCCAAAAAAATTTTTTTGTGTAAAAATTGTAATTTACAAGAAACAATCGTACCCAAAACTATAGATAGAGGGCGTCAATCCCGCCAATTTTCAACATATTCATGATCAACGTTGAGGTAAGGGTCAAATTGACCCAGTGTGTTCTCGGAGGGTTAATAATACAGAATTTCATTGCAATGAATACATATCAAACTATTCTGATACTGATGATATAAATAAAAACTGCCATAATAGCTCAGACTCAGAACTTGATGAAGTATAATACAACTATAAGAATAGAAGGCCATGTGCTATTTAATGATTGTGAATCATGTCACGTAAAAGACGCAAAACATGAGAAAATATATATTACGCATTAAAGATTTCCTGTGCTATGATTCTCATTAACATTAAAATTTTTCAATTAGGAATTATATATAAAAATGAAAACTACTAAGCCAAGCCTGTCTATTTTATGAGTAGTAGACTTGATTATTAATTAATTAAATAAAAATGAAAACTACTAGACCAAGCCTGCCTATTTTATGAGTAGTAGACTTGATTATTAATTAATTAAATTTCTTCGTCCATTTTCTGTTCTATTCCCGTAAAATAAATGGATTCAAATTTTGCATATCTTCGCGTGCACAGTAACTGCAGGAAAAGCGTTACATCTTGATTAGGATCCCAAGTAGTTTTACTCTTCAGTTACTAGCAAAACTAACATAATTGCCCAGTAACAAGTTGCAAACTTAAATTTCATTAAATTAAATTTTTACCAGGATATCGTATATTCATCATACTTTGAAAAAGACATGGTGATGGCAACTATACATAGTTTTGTACATAGAATGAATATATATAGCTTAATACTATTATTAGGACCTTAACTTAGTTTCCGCCCAAAAAATACTGAGAAAAAGCATTTATTGTAAAAAATTTATTTAAATTATTTCAATGAAAGTATTTTCCATCACTTTCTACAACTTTTTGCCATCTTTCTGGCAACTGGGCGATACCATCTCGATAAAACGATGTTTGTTTCGAAGCAATCCATTCGTCCACCCATTCTCGCACTTCTTCAACATTTCGGAAGCGTGTACCACTCAAGCCGTGCTGCATCGATCTGAACAAGT